GGGACTCCAGGATCATGACCTGAGCCGAAGGCAGTCGCTTAACCAACTGAGCCACCCAGGCGCCCAATGTATTAGCGTTTTTTAAGACAAAAACATCATGAGCTTTTGAGCACTTTGGCCGATGCCTACCCTTCACCCCTAAGTTTTCCAGGTCATCATGGTTACATTTTACTGTAGTGTCTTTGATCTCTTTGTCTTCTCAGTTGGGCAATGCAGATTTCCTCTAGATTTTTGTATGTTCCTACAAGGAGTTTGCTTTGCAATTCCCATCTCCCTTTCCAGAAACTAAGAAGAGACTTTGAGCTCATCCCTACAAGTTGTGCTGACAAGTAAATTATCACATGGCTACAGCATCATATACGCTTTAAGGACAAACCGACTTAGTCTCTAACTCTAGTACACCAATAAAACATTTCCAGCTACTTAAGCATCTTACTACTCCAGACTATATCTGATCCTGTTGTTTTCAGAGAGAGCTTTTTTTTTTTATATTATGATGTTTTAGGTACTTTTTAAAAAAGATTATTTATATATTTATGTATGTATGTATTTCTTTCTTTATTTTTGGGTGTGTGGCGGGGAGAGAGTATGCACGAGCAGGGGGAGGGGCAGAGAGAGAAGCAGACTCCCTGCTGAGCAGGGAGACTGACGTGGGACTCCATCCCAAGACCCTGGCATCATGACCTGAGCCAAAGGCAGCTGCTTAACCGACTGAGCCACCCAGGCACCCTTCTAGGTATATTTTTAATGGGCAACTCAAGAGACAGTATCTACCTAAGAATTCCCATTTTTAAGCCTAACGTATTCATTCCTGGTTGATATTCTTCTCATTGATTGTCCTAAATTAGGGTTACCAGATCTCCAGGATAATTCAAACAGGAATGGTCAGTTAAATTTGAACTTCACATAAAGAATGAATGCTTTTCGGGGCACCTGGGTGGCTCAGTTGTTAGGCGTCTGACTTCGGCTCAGGTCATGATCCCAGGGTCCTGGGATTGAACCTCGCATCTGGCTCCCTGCTCTGCGGGAGGCCTGCTTCTCCCTCTCCGATTCCCCCTGCTTGTGTTCCCTCTCGCTGTGTCTCTCTCTGTCAAATAAATAAATAAAATCTTAAAAAAAAAAAAAGGGGCGCCTGGGTGGCTCAGTTGGTTAAGCGATTGCCTTCGGCTCGGGTCATGATCCTGGAGTCCCTGGATCGAGTCCCGCATCGGGCTCCCTGCTCAGCGGGGAGTCTGCTTCTCCCTCTGCCCCTCCCCCCTCTCATGTGCTCTCTCTCATTCTCTCTCTCTCAAAAAAAAAAAAAAAAAAAAAGAATGAATGCTTTTCTTTAAAGTATAAGTATACCCCATGCAATATTTGGGACTTACTCATACTAAGAAATTACTCATTCTCTATATGAAATTCAGTATACTGTGTTTTATTTTGCAATCATAAATGGGAATTTCTGCTTTGCAGCATCTCCACCCTTCAATCCCCAGAACTTCTGGGGTTCAGAGACCAAAGGTGGAGGAAGGGGAAATAAGAGTGGATACTTGGCTTTTATTATCAGGTCTTTGGTAATTTCTGGGGCTTTAAACTTCCTTGGAAGCCTAGAAAAGTGATACCTGAGGTATTCGGTGAAAGGAGAGGGACCCCAGCAATAAGGTAGCCCCAGGGATGAGATAGTTCCTCATGACACTGTTTACACATCCATTTAAATCAATATCAATTTATCCAGACCCCAGCAGGTCTGCAGCAATATATGCCGGTGAAGATGTGGTCCTTGAACTGTTCCATCTAGAGTCCATAGGTGGGTCATGCTGTACTTTATGCTGTCCTCACAGTGTATCTGGCTGAGGTTACTCATCATACTATTTCTGTTTAGTGAAATGGAATTCTGCCTGTAAGATGTCGGTATGACAAGGGAAAAGATTCATATTTCAGGATTCACAGCCTCTCCCCCTCCTCACCTTGAAAAAGAGAGTTTCTTTTCATTTGCTCTGTGTCCCTGGTCCCAGGATTGCATGGGACCAGGTTAATGCGTGAGGAAGGGTATTAATACAGCCAAGGCCAGTCCGATTGATCTCAGGAAGCAGCACGATGAGAAAATAACAGATGGAGAAGATGAGGGGGGTAGGCTGAAAAAGAATAGGGTGCTCTGTGTGTGGAAGGGGGCATGGGAGAGAGAGTGAGAAAGGGGGATTTTAGGGGAATATGACAGGAAAGAAGGAGGTCTGTAGGCAGTGTTCCTGCCGGACTCCATGAAACACCAGAGGAGAAAGAAAAGATTGGAAGTTGTGCCATGGGGTGTAAGATTCATCCCCCTCTTGGCATTTTTTGAGAGACTCTGGTTAATATTATTTTTATCTAATGGCTCTTGCTTTCACAGAGATTTCCTCTGAATGTGAGTGGTCTTGAAATACACCTGTATATATCCCGGCTTCTGCCATTTACACAACATGGGGAGGGAGGACAAAGCAGGGCAGTAAGGATCCAGTAAATTCTGATCAGACAGTTGTTGGGCAGCAAAACTGTAAAACTCGTACCTCATGATTTCATCATTATACCATTCCCTGGGAGGGGCTAAAACCGTTATTCCCGACAGGAACATTAAAAAATAAATCAACGCTATCTACTCATGTCTTTATGACATTATGGATTTTCTCTCTACCTTCCTCCCCTTTCCTCATGTAGCTAAGTACATGTGTGACATGATGTATATGTGACATATGAGCAGGAGAGAAATAAACTTATATTTTGGTCATGCAAGATAGAACTTACACTCCAAATTAATGTATTTTCCTTCCATCGTTGTCAACATGGATGCTGCAGTCCTTGCATCTGTGCATCATTTCCACACGTTGCATTGCGTTTGAACACCGCATTGTTCAAAAACATTGGGATCTCCTGTTTTGGCATAACCTTCAGAGTCGATGTCAGATAAAGTAATTTGGTATTGATAATAAAGATATCAAAGTAAATTATCTTCAGTAATGGGAAATCTTCATCCTTAAGGATGCATTTGACTTTTGGAAACAGCCAAGGCTAATTTGGAACACGCTTTGATGGATAAAGTACATAATCATAATAGATAACACTTCTGGGGGCGCCCGGGTTGCTCAGTGGGTTAAGCGTCTGACTCTTGGTTTCAGTCATGATCTCAGGGTCGTGGGATTGAGCCCTGTGTCGGGTTCTGCGTTCAGCAGGGAGTCTGCTTGAGATTCTCTCTCCCTCTCCTCCTCCCCCGGCCCTGCTCACGTGCATGCTCACTCGCGCTCTCTCTAAAATAAATCTTAAAAAAAAAAAGGAACTTTAAAAAAAAGATAACACTTCTGGATAAAAACAACATAGGAAAATTGATGAAACTTTTTGTATAGTTCATAAACTGAAAATAATTATAAAAATAAGGTAGTCTAAGTTATTTTTGAGGAATGGATTGAGTTGAAAAAAAGTATAATCTACTGAAAAACTATTTCAAAATAACCATTTGTTTGGAACTGTGTTTATTTTTTCATTCATCTATACATTCAACAGTAATTCAATAGACAGACCTTGAGGACCTACCCAGTCTTAAATGGTAGCTCTGAGAATACCAAGGGAAAAAAAAAAAGGAAAACTAGTTCTTGTCCTCAAAGAACTTCTAATTCTATAGAAAAATAGATATACAAACATGATTTTAGTATGCAGATCTTATCTGAAACCCTTGATGGGTTTTAGAATTCAGAATATTTCACATTTTTACAAGGTAATGGGAGGATATTCCAATCACTGGCTGCAGAACATTACCTAAAATTTTGTACCTTAAAACAAAATTTGTCTTTCTCATAAATCTATGTTTGGGGCAAGGCTTGGCATCAGCTTGTCTTTGCTTCACTCAGCCAACAAGTGGGGGCACTTGAGTGCCAAGGCCAGGCATCATCTGCAGTTAACTCATTCTCATGTCTGGTAGTTGATACTGGTTGGTCATTGATGAATACTGATGATGAATACAATGAATACATTGATGAATAATTGAGATCTTGGCTGGGGTTGTGGCCTAGAACAGCTACAGGTGGCCTCACTACGTGGCTGAGCTTCCTCACAACATGGTGGCTGAGTTCCAAGGGCAAGCATTTTGAGAGAGGAAAGGAAAATAGGCGGAAGCCATATCACCTTTTATGACCTAGCCTTGGAAGTCAAGCAGTATCACCTCCACTACTTTTATTCATAAAATCACTCCCATTTTCAAGAGGGGAGAGGGAAATAGACCTCTCCTCTTGATAAGTGGTAGAAGTTCTAGAAGAACTTGTGGGATGAGACATGTTGCAGTAGCCATTTTCGGAATGGTGCACATACTAGAGGTGCGTATACTATGTGTTACTTACCATTGCCAGTGGGGTCTGAGGCTTCAGTCTGCAATGAAACCCACTAATATTTCTGCAGCAAAGTTCATGAATATTAATACAAATTGGAATAAATTGAGATTATAAATATAAGTAGTTCCATTCAGGTTTTGTCACCAAATGAGTTACCAAAAATATTTCAGTTTTAAGAGATTTTCTGGATTTCAGACTTTCTAGTAGGTGGTTTTTGAGCTGTAATAATAAGTTGTGCTGATGGAGGCTATAGGTATCTACAATGCATCTAGAAGAAGAGACTACAGGAGAACTGCAGGAGTAAGAAATCTTCACAGACAGGTAGCTGAAAGTGGATTATTTAGGAAGGATGTTCCGAACGAAGAAACTCCAAAAGAATGGATGTCTGAGTGTGGAGAAAACCAAGATTTTCAAAATAGCTAGAGTATATACATTAGAGAACATGAAGGCCCAGATCATGAAGAGTCTTGGATGCCATATTAAGGAATTTGCATTTTATCCTATAGAGACAAAATGAAGCCAATTAAGGGTTTTAAGCAGGAGAGAGATGTGATCATATTTGCCCTTTGGAATGATAATTTTGGTGATAGACAGTAGATTGAGGGGGATGAGGATGGGGTTCTTCAATAGGCAACTAGAAGTGATGATCACCTGAAATAAAAGCAGGGAAGAATTGTGTTTAGCTGCCATTTCCTTTTGTGCTAAGATCAAAGTTAATCATGAAAACTGTGATGTGGAGAGGGAGAGGAGTTGTCAGATTGTCTTTTTTCTAATTAATATTTTTTATCCAAGTAGTGCCTGTATCTTCTTTACAATGTTAAATAGCACAAGACATAGAATAAAAGCCAATGTGCACTGTACCACATCCCATTACCCCAGTCTTACTCCTTAAAGGCTACCACTTTCACCCCTTTAAATGGTTCTTCTGGGATTTACCTCTATGATCTAAATAAGGGGCCTCATCTGCTGCAAGTAACAAAATAAGCCAATTTGAAAATATCTTAAATAGTAACACTTATTCTCACAACAGGAAGTCCAGACTGGACAGGCTTCAGACACCATATTTGCTTCCATCTCAGCTGGCTCCTCATCACGATCATAAGATCAATGCCTCTGTTCCAAGAATCACATGAAAAAACTCCATTGTAAGAAGAACGACCATTGTTCTTGTGAGTCTTTGGGTTTGTTTTGTTTTGTTTTGTTTCGTTTTTAGTTTATCAGCAAATAGTTTTTTTCCAGAAGCTCTGCAGCTCCCTTTCCCTCCTGTGTCTTTGGCTAATTTGGGTCACATGCCCTGTTTGAATTATCTGTGATCAACTTGGCATCACCACCACCCCTTCTAAAGTCTCCTTTGCTTTGAAGAGAAGCCAGGAGCTACATTTGCTAGATTCCCCTTTGTTGTATGGTCCCAGGCTGGAGTGTATTGATGACAGGCATCCTTGAGCCAAAGTAACGGAGAGTTCATTACTCTCCAGTCAGTTGCAGCCAGAATTGTGGAAACTTCAAGGCGAGTTTTGAAAACCACCTGCTTGAGCACTCCAAGTTGAGGTCAGTAGCGGTTTCTCTAACCATTGCTCCCTTAAGGCTTTTTTTGGGTTAAGCCACCAATTCCCTGTGTTAAAGCACTTTATAGCTAGACTGCAAAGAGTAGCTTCGGGTTTCCAGACTGATCTATGACCCTTCCTAAACATAGCACCGATGCAAGGGAAATGAATCACAACACTGACATAGACAAATCAGGATTTAGGTATGATTCCAGTATGGAGAACAATAGTAATATGGGGAAATTTGACTTCAAGGAATGGTAGTGTAGCTCGGTCAGGCTAATCTTCCCACAGGTAACAATGATAGAGTCTGGATGGGAATATTAAAAACCAACTGTTTGAAGATATTTCACAGAGACTAGACGCAGGCAGGTATTGGAGAGGAGTCTACCTTTAAAAGATTGGAATTACACCATTGTGATTTTTGATTTGGAGTTTTTGCTCACAGTTGTTCACCAATCCATTACGTGGCTCAGAATGAAGCCTCCTGAATACTGGTGTCAGAATATAAAGTTCAGGACTGGAAGAGCAACTGGGGAGCTGGGAGGGCGTATCCTAGGAGGGAGGGGGTCATAGAGGTGGTGAACCCCAAATCTCCATATAAACTGCTCAAATTCTTGTCCAGCCACTGAAATATGCATCAGTAGGAGAGACTACATAGAGTACAGAGAAAAAGTGACCACTAGAAACTGAAAGAATTGAGCAGATATTTCAGGGTGTCCCCCAAAAACAGAGGAGACAGACTTAGGACTTTGAGTCCAGCCAATTTAATTCCCTAGTAGAACAAAAATTGCACTCTTCCGAGCAATATAATAGAATCCAGAATTTCTACAATGTATAATTCCTAATGTCTAGTATACAATAAAAATGACCAAATGTGTAAAGAAATGGGAAAATATGACCCATATGCAAGGAGGAGAAAACAATCAAGGAAAACCAAACCTTACGTGGTACATAGTAGACAGAGACTTTAAAGCAGCTATTATAAATATGCATAAAGACTTACAGGAAAATGTAGTCTTGGTGAATGAACAGATGGAGAAACAGCCACAAAATAGAATTAAAAGTCCATTTTCGTGTGTTTGCGCTGCTCTAACAAAAACTCCATAGCCTGGGTGGCTTAAATAACAAACATTTATTTCTCACAGTTCTGGAAGCCGGGCAGTCCAGGATCAAGGCACCAATAGATCTGGTCTCTGGTGACGTACTGCTTCCTGGTTCATAGATGGTCACCTTCTCACTGTGTCCTTGCATGACAGAAAGAGTAAGGGAGCTCCCTGGGGCTTCTTGTAGGAGGGCACTAATAACATTCACGAAGACTCCATCTCATGACCTCATTACCTCGCAGGGGCCCCACGCCCTAATGCCATCACACTGGGGGTTAGGATTTCAACATGTGAATGGCAGGGAGGGACACATTCAGTCTATAGCAGACTCAAATGAAAATTCTAGGTGAAAAATACAGCAACTAAAAATGAAAAACTTACTAGATATGCTTAATGGCAGATTGGAGAATGCGCAAGAATCGGTGAATTTGAAAGCAGATAAATGGGAATTGTTCAGATTCAAGAAAAGGGAGAAAAGATAGAAAAAAATATGAATAGATTTTCAGAAAGCTATGGTTTCTGAAATTCAAGCAGTCTAATACATGTGATTAGAATACTAGAAGGAGCCAAGAGAGTAGGGAAGAAAAAATATTTGAAGAAGTAATGGCTGAAAACTTAGCCATTTGGTAAAAACACTAATGGATCCAAGGTCAGTGAAGCACAAGCAGAATAAATATAAAGAAAACAACACTAGGCACATGACCAACTGTTGGCATCTAAAGACAAAGAAAAAGGAGCCAGGAGAAAAATAAGGCCTATATTTTACTTAGAGAGAAATAATAATACAAATAAGGCAGACTTCTCCTGAGAAACAGGGGAGACCAGAAGTCTGTGATACACACCCAGCTCACATTAGTGGAAAAACCCATTGGTCCAGCTGGGAGGAGTGCCGTCAGCAGACAACCTTCTGTTTTTAGCCCCTTTCGGGGGGATTGCCTCAGCTGTAGAGCACTGACTCACTTAAGATCAAGCCTCTTCCTGGGATACCTACAGCCAGGGGTTGATCAGTGCAGGACCTGACCTTCTTGGCCCAATGCAAGACGAATCTGAAGGGCCATTCTTGTTCCAGATCTCCCCCGGGCGTTGGCTGAGGCTACTATAGGACATGCATCAGAGCTCAGTTTTTCCTTCTGATTACTCTTGCTTCCTTCTTTCCACAGGTTTTGATACCAAGGAGACTCCTTAATAAACATTCTGCTGGCTAAATTCCACCTCAGAGTCTACTTCCTAGGAAACCCAACCCATGACAACGATTGAATAACACCTTTAAGTACTGAAATAAGTAAAGCTGTCAACCCAGCTTCTATATGCTACAAAATTATCTTTCAAAAATGAAGAAAAATAAAGATGTTTTCAGATGGACTAAAGCTAAGAATTGGTGTGTTGTGCTGTAAGAAATACTTAGGGGAATTCTTCAAGTGGGAGATGAATGACACCAGATGATAACTTGGATTCAATGGAAGGAATAAAGAGCACAGGAAATGGTAAGTATTTGGGTAAACATGAGAGAATGTACACATTTTCTTTTCTTTTTTTTTAAGATTTTATCTTTAAGTAATCTCTATACCCAAGGTGGGGCTTGAAATCATAACCCTGAGATCAAGAGTTACATGCGCCACCAACTGAGCCAGCCAGGCGCCACATGTACACATTTTCTTAATTTCTTGAAAAAGCATATGATTGCATAATGCAGCTTATAACACAGTATTGTGGAGTTTATAACATAAGTACGTATAATAGATATGACAAAAATCTCACCAAGTTGAGAGAGTGGTAAATAAAACTATGATATTCAAAGGTTGCTATATTTTATGTGAAGTAGTACAATATAAACTCTAAGTAGATTGTGGTAATATAAAGATGTAAATTGAAATCCTTGAAGTAACTACTAAAAATAATGCAAGATATATAGCTAAAAAGCTAACAGAAATTAAAATGGAATACTATGAAGTATTCAAGTAACCCGAAAGAAGGAAGGAAGAGAGGAAAAAAAATGAAGTGGACAACCAGAAAACAAATTGAGTGTGTTATTAATGTATATTAATGATCATGGGAGCTAGGCTTCTTATTGTCAGAGAAGGGAGTTATAAATGTAGAAAGTAGAATGAACTAGTCGTGTTGGAATTTACTTATGTAAGTAAATACATAAATATAGATATAATATGTGTATATATACGCATATATACCTGTGTTTATGTCCATGAATATGTATGTATATGTGGGTATCCATAGATACCCATAGATACACACAACTATATTATTTCTAGCTGTGACCACTGACAAGGTTTGAAAACATCAACTATGAGCATATTTAGAGGCCCAGTCTTGATTTCTGAAAATGCTTCTCAATGTAAAAGAACCAAGGCTTTTTGTTGAGAAATGACTGATTTGAGGACTGGAGTAGGGAATGTACAAAATGAGCCTGGAACATTTTGTGCACAAAAGTAAGGAAGTCCCTGAGGAATGATGGTGATTTGTTAAAGGCCATAGAATCCAGCTTGACTGGGCTTCCCACTGGTGAAATCTGGAACACTATGACTTCAAAATAAATAATAGTAACAAATTGTAAGCTGTTAAATAAAACAAGAATCCATGAGTCCACATTTGCCCTGAGTAAATATGTGAATAAATTGAAAGTTAGGTGAGGGAATAGGTATCTATATAGTCTTAAATTACCTCCTCGTGAAGCACTTATTGATTACAAAGGGAAAAAGTAACTTGATAGTGGGAGAAGCCTGGCAGACACCATCTTAATCAAATGAGCCAAGGCAACATCCCTAGTAATGGGACAAACTGAAATCAGAACCACCTGCTAGAACATAACGAGAAGAACACACAAAACATCACTTGCGCGATAACTCCTGTTGAAGATTCATAAGCTGAATCTAATAGTGAGGAAACAGCAGAGAAACCCAAATTGAAGGACATTATACAAAATAACTGTTCTGTAATCTTCAGAAAATTGTCAAGGTCATGAAAATCAAGAAAAGACCAAGGAGCTATTCCAGATAGAAAGAAACAAAAGAAACGTGACAAGTAAATGCAGTGTATTATCCTGGACCAGCTCCTTTTGCTATTAAGATTGTTACTGGAACAATTGGTGAAACTTAAATGTGGTAGAAGAATTAAATAGTACTGTATTAATGTTAATTTCCTCACTTTGATGATGGTGTTGTGATTATGCAGGAGACTATCCTTGTCTTTAGGAAATATACACTGAAGTATTTGAAAGTGAGGAACATGATATTAGCAACTTCTCTCAACTGGTTTAGGAGGAAGAGTACTTTGCACTGTACCTGTAACTTTTCTGTAAGTTTGAGATTGTTTCCAAAATAAACAAATACCCACTTAGGAACAAAACCCACAAGACACCATTAGAATGGTTAAAATAAATTAGAAAGGATGATAGAAATGTTGAGAGGAGGGTGAAAAGCAATGAGAACTCTCATAAATTGCGGATGTAATTAAAATTATACAATCACGTTGGAAAGGTTTGGTAGCTTCTTATAAAGTTATCCCTTCCTTTGAGCCAGCAATCCCACTCCTAGGTATATACCCAAGAGAAATGAAAATGTATGCCAACACGGATAGTTGGACAGGAATACTTGTGGCAGCTCTCTTCCTAATAGCTAAAATCTGGAACAAAAGACCTATCGGTAAGAAAATGGATTTTAAATTTTTGATATAATCATACAGTGTGATATTACTCAGTGATCAAAATGTACTATTTATACATGTAACAGTATGGGTGAATTTCATAGACATTATGCTGAGTGAACAAAACTGGAGTACATACTGAATGATTCCATTTATGGAAAGCTTTAGAGGAGGCAGAACTACTTTATGATAGAAAAAACTCAGAACAATTACTGCCTTTGGTGGGATTAACTAGGAAGGGACACAAGGGATATTTGGGGGGTAGGTAGATGTTCTATGTCTTGATGGAGTGTGGATTACACAGGTGTATCAATTAATCTAAATCATAGACTGTTGACATAGACAATCCTAAGGAATCTACAAAAAAAAGATGAGAATTTAGCAAGGTTGCAATATACGAATTTACAATTCAAAAATCAATTTTAACTTTATATACTAGCAGCAAACAATTGGAAATGAAAATAAATTTTTTTTTAAGGGAGAGAGTGCATGCACAAGCAGTGGGAGAGGGGCAGAGAAAGAGGGAAAGAATCCTAAGCAGACTCTGAGCTGAGCAAGGAGCTGATATGGGGCTTGATCCCATGACCCTGAGATCATGACCTGAGCTAAAATCAAGAGTCAGACGCTTAACCAACTGAGCCACCCAGGCACCTTGGAAATGAAAATTTTAAATTCCATTTACAGTAATGTCAAATTTAACAACATTTAGGAAGAATTTAGCAAAAGATATGCAAGACCCCTATCCTGGAAACTACAAAATTCCTTTGAGAAAAAAAAAAAATCTCCAGAAATGGAGAGAGATACCATATTGAAGAATTGGAAGACCCAATATTGCCAGTGTGTCACTTCTCCCCAAATTGATTTCAATCCAACCAGGCGTTTTTGTAGAAATTGACTAGACAATTATATTTTCGTAGAATTGCAAAGGACTTAAAATATTCAAAGCATTCTTGAAAAAGAACAACATTAAAGGTGTTCCTCAATTGTTTAGTGATCATGGGCTGTCCTTTTACCTACAGAAATAGGTATTAAAAAATAATAATTAGAAGCTTAATGTGTATGAATAGGGCTGTTGTCTGGTGGGCTTCGCTGGAGGGTAATTGTCAGACACATAGTTGTTTTATAGGAATACCACCAAATGCAAATGTCTCTGCACATTTTCTCCAGGAGGATAGGGGTAGGTGAAGGGTGGTGGTGTGGTGCAGTGGTGGTTGGTGGTACACGCTTGGGAGATGATAGTGGGAAAAGGGACCTTGGATGGTATCATTCACTATGCAGACTTTCATGTAAAAATGTTTCAGGGACATTTCTTCATTGCCTTCCACCACAATGTTTAGTGTCCATGGCCAGAGTGTAGGGTTAAACTTCTCCAAAAATACAGTGAACCTCTTATCCCTTCTGTGGGTTGGTAGACGAGTTTATGGAGTATTGGAGAGATTTTTTCATAGACACTTTAATCCCATTCTCACACCCACCTTCTGTCTTATTTGGTGCCTCTAATGTCCAGGCCTTCCCAGGGTTCTTTTAGGTGAATTGGATTGCTTCTTGTTGGCATGCTATTGCCAACAAGTCTGGATGTGGGTTTTTTTAACTTTCTCCTGTCTTGCTAAGAAAATTTCCACTCTATCATCTGTTTTCCATTTTCCAAAATTTCATTGATAATACTTATCTGTTGTTTCCTTCCCTTTCCTTCTCTCTCTCTCTCTCTTTTTTTTTTTTGTGGCTTTGCATTTTTTTAATTCTTTACTATTATTTTTGTTTGGTTTCAGGAGTGAGCAGGTAAAAATACTTCTTTAATTTGATCTTTAGTTTAATCTACCATGAAAAATTAGAAATCCTTCTGAGCTTTCCTAAAAGGTACTATAATTTGGAGCGGTAGAGAGTTGAGGGGAGGGTATCACAATTGGTGAGAGATGCTGCAGATGGAGAGAGGGGACAAATACAAAAAATATGTAGATATCATTTTTTAACCCAATCCTATTACTTTATATTCTTGACTATATAGCCCCAATTAACCTAAGTATTTAATCATTCTACTATACAAAGAATGTAAAAAAATTTTCTTTCTGCACAAACACATATGGATTATTGTAAAATAATATGTTTTACTGCTGCTCAAAAATCAATTCTTCCTCAACAGAATATTAGCAAATCAAATCAAACAATGAATAAAAAATGATACACCACAACCAAGTGGGATTTATTCCAGTTACACAAGGCTAGTTCAACATTTGAAATCAGTTAATGTAATCCATCACATCAACAGGCTAAAGAAGAAAAATTATCTGCATATTGATAGATGCAGAAAATCTGACACTTATTCATGGTAAAAACTCTCAAAAACTAGGAATGGAGGGGAACTTCCTTAACTTTATAAAGAATATTAAAAAACCTACTCAACATTATACTTAATGTTGAGAAACCAGATACTTTCCTAATTGATTGGGAACATGACAAAAATGTACTCTTTCGCCATGCCTATTCAACCTCATACTTGAAGTCATAACTAATGGAATAAGACAAGAAAAGGGGGGAAAGATAAACAGGTTGAGAAGGAAGATATAAAACAGTCTTTGTTGCAGATGACATGACTGTCCATGTAGAAAATCTCAAAGAATCAACAACAAAAAAATACCAGAAACTAAGTGGTCATAGCAAGGTTGCAAGATACAAGGTTAATATATAAAAGTCAATTGAGGGGCACCTGGGTGGCTCAGATCATTAAGCGTCTGCCTTCGGCTCAGGTCATGATCCCAGGGTCCTGGGATCGAGCCCCACATCGGGCTCCTGGCTCAGCAGGGAGCCTGCTTCTCCCTCTCTCTCTGCC